CTTAACAACCAAATGATGTCTTGTGGAAGATTTGAGGACAGGAAAGCATTTTACTTTAAAGCTTTCTAAATTTCACATTGTAGTATTTTTTCTTAAAAGCTACTATAGGAACACTTTATCCCCACAATGATTTTCTATACTTCATTTACCTGTATCAAGCCTTAATTATCACTACAGCTATGATAAAGAGATGGCTGAAAATAAGAAAAGAAGGTAGGATTATATTTGAAAACCTATCATAAATAAAAATACAGTACAGAAATGTTGTAGGGAAAAGTGAAGAAGGTCAGAGTAGTTCTTCACTAGTTAAAAGTTCAAGTTCTCGTGCTTAAACAGAATGCATTCTTCCAGTTACACTGTGGTTTTAAACGTTGAATAGAACAGAATAAAGGAGTAGAGCGCCTAGTATAGAACTGAAAAGGAGAAGCAGGCACCTTTGGGCCCAGCAGGGAGTTCATTAGTGGGAAAGGAAGAATAGGAAGAATAAATAGATCATGTCTGTGAAATATGCCACCTCTCATCCCTTCTTCAAACCATCAAACAAACAAAAAAACAAGTAAGAAAGGCTAAGAGTGTATTCCTTTTCCAAGTATTTTTTTTCCAGGCAAGTTTATGAGACTTATGTTTACCTAAAGAATATTTGATATGTCAGGTATAACTAAGCAGGTATCCTTGATTCATACTGATATATATATATATAAAATTTTATATAAATATATATATTTTAATAGACTTGCTTTTTTGAGCAGGAAAAAAATAGTAAGTTACTTTCAAGAAAGCGGCTGCTCAGTGACACTGTCTCTTTGCTGGTGTTAAAACTTCTGTGTAGTGAAACTTTTAAAACTGAGCATTTTACTGGGTGTGGTGGCACATGCATGCAATTCCAGCACTTGGAAGGCTGAGGCAGAAGGATTGACATGAGTTCAAGACCAGCCTGGGCTACATAGTAAGTTCAAGAGAACATAGCGAGTTCAAGATCAGACCCTGTCTCAAAAGAAAAAAAAAGAAAAGAAAAGGAAAAAAACTGAACATTTTGCTCTAAAAGCCTTCAATACTTTTAAAGAAATATGTGGAGTACAGAATTTATAAACCCAAATTTTCCCCTCCTAAATTCAAGTAAGTTTGTTACCAATGCTGTTCTCCCAATGGTAAGTCATATAGTTTTCTTTCATTATAAAAGAGTTTGCCCTTTAATTGTAGAATGTAGTTACCATCCGTAATAGAATCATCAAGATGCCTGAATGTTTCTGTTTTAGCCTTGGGTATATCACTAAAGTACGCTTTACAGTACTTTGTGAATTTAGTCATTAATTCTTTCTTTATTGAACATGGTGAGGTAAATTGGAAGAGTATGTATGATTTTTTCATGTTGTAATGATGATCCAAGAATCAAAATAGTACTTGCATAAAAATAAAGTATTGGGGATAAAGCCTTATCATAGGTCACTTGCCTAGCATATAGGCCTTAGATTTGATTACCAGAACTGAAAAAAAATGCAAATTGCTTTAAACTTTACAGAGAAGAGGAATATAAAAATTCAAGGACACTACTAATGGTGCTATTATTGTACAGGTGGATTATGTTTATGCTGTTGCATCATTAGAAATAATCCAGGAGTTAAAATTAGAGATAGCTATGCATAGTGTATTTCATCAGTCATTGAGTAGGAATCTCTTAAATCTGGTAAATAGACATGGGATATTTTCTTGTGATTTTAGCAAACTATTAACACTATTTTTATGTGGGCTTTTGTGCAATAGACAAATAATGCAAACAGTTCCCCCAATCTAGCGGCTATATGTCTTCCCCTTGTTATGACTGAAGCATATCCTATATTTAACAAATCCTTTTCCCTTCTTCCTTCCCTACCTCCCTTCCTTCCTTTCTTCCTGCCTTCCTTCTAAGAGATCTAAAGTGCAAATCTGGAAAATGAGCATTCATTTCACATGGAAAGGGGATAGGTTTTTAAAGTTTGCCGTGGTTTCTCCCAATAAGAAATTATAAGTTTGTCTAAATGGGAATATAACTGATATCCTGTGTAGAAAACAATTCTGCCTAAATAGTATTTCCAAGAATCCTAGCATATGCTTTCTTTATATACCTGTATTTTCTCTCCTGATAGCCTCTCAAAATTAGAGATTATATCATAAATGATTTTGTTCAGAGTTGTCAAATTCAAGCATAGTGGTACTTAGCATATGTCGAAATAGTGAAAGCTGAGCATTTTCACAAAGAAGGAAACAATAAAGCTGACCTAAAATCTCTGAAGTGACACTGCGCATTCCCTGTACTCCCCATGAAATCATTTCCTATGAAGTTACCTTCTCTGTTAGTCTTCCCACGCTCAGATTTATCATTTCCATTTAGGCCCTATTCCCTTTTTTTCCAGTTGGCTCACAATCTAGTAAAAATCAGTAAACTGATGTTTGTGATATAGTGTCATGAGGGTTTTGACTACAGGAAACATAGAATGTCCTGGGAACAGAGCAGGTTAGCATTTACATTTTTGAGAAGGATTTTAATACTTCTTGAGAAAGGTGACTTCAGACAGAAAGGAAGTAGAGAAGAAAGACAAAGAAATTAGTAGAAAATCGCAGGTAGCCTACACATGTAGTCTTTCTGACCTGCTGAAAAGCCCTAGCATAGTCAGCCCAACTAAAATTGTTACTTTCAATGTTCTCTTTCTGGAAACATTTAATCCTCCCTGGATCTCCCATGTTCACTTGTATAGAATATCAGTGGGTCTCAGCAACAGCGAACTGAGTGGCTGGCATTTTAAGCTCCAAGGCAGCCCAGAAGTAGCCCTTTCAGATCTCTGAAACAAGTCCCTAGTTCATGTTTCAGATGTGACCTGGTATTGCAGTTCCTCAGAGGCCTGGTGCCCTACACTGAGAACATATTATGTTAGTTTAAGTCATGAAATTCAAAAGACCTCAGCTGTATAACTTGACTATTTCTCACTACTATAACCATAAAGGAATTGTGTTTTCTCTGTTCTCTTGTGAAGACCAGTTTCTAAATTTGTTAGAAAAAAGTGGCCAGAGATTTAGCTCAGCAGCATAAGCGCCTGCCTGGCAAGTGTGAGGTTGTGAGTTCAGTCCCCAGTACCACACACACACAAAAAAAAGATTAAGTAAAAAGCGTATGGGGAAAATCTGAGCTGCCTCACTAGGACTGATTAGTGGTGATTTTCCAAATATTTCCATTGCAGTGTCAGAAACGGTATTTCTCTGCCTGGCACAAGCTGATCATTGATCATAGGATTAAGCTGGGGAAAGCTGGGACCCTGTCCGACTGGAAGCTTCAACTGAAGATCCTGCGAGGCTGGAGAGACTACACAAGATCCCAGAAGCTGAAGCAGGTGACTCAAGCCTTGGAAAATGATCTTAGGGAGGAAAACAGGTACCATTATTTATGCCATGAAAATGCATCTTGTGTGTTTATCTAGGGCATCTTCCTCCAGAAGAATCCAGAAATAAACTTTAAAAGCACTATTTACTGAAATCGTCTTATCCACTTATAGAATATGGTAATCACAATTTTTTTGTACATCTGCAAAACTTTTAACTTAAAACTATAAGCAGACAAAACTAGTTGATTAAAATACTCCAATGTACTTGATCTATAAAGGAAGTGAGTCTTAGACATTTCCCTAATGCTAATATAGTAGTATTGCACCTTGGGCCATCTTACAATTCAGAAGAGGGAGTTTGGTATACATGGCAATAATTTTCATTGATAGAAATCACCGTCTGCACATAAAATGTTAATTGAGGACACAGGGAACATCCATCTGGGAGGGCCAACCTGCCAAGAGTGATTCCTCCCACTCTGCTGTCTTTTGTTCCACATCTTATTTAGAGGGTTTTTGACACTTTTGTTATCAGTTCCTTTTTGTACTGGTGACACAACAGAAGCATAAGACACAGAATTTGTCTTCAAGTGAAGCTTTCTTTGTTCCATCATCTTAAAAGTAAATTAATTTTCTTATTCTCATTCCCAAGTTCAACTTTACGTTCTGTTCTTGTGTTTGTTTTCATTTCTTTGGTGGTCCTGGGTGTTGAATCCAGTGCCTCCCACGTGCTCTAGCACTGAGCTGCACCCCTCCCACCCGCATCAGCTTTGCATTGTAGATCAATATTATAGATGTGTTTATAAGGGGAGTCTTGTTCTTATGTAGGGGGTTATTTAGGGGCTCATGTTTGACTTTCTGCAGGAAGCTCTGTCATTCATCTGGGATGAAACATAGAGGAATTGGCACACAGAAGTAGAAGGGCATGGCACCCCCTAGCGCTTCCCTGTGATAGTATCATGCCCTGGGAGGTTGCATTGAGGACTGGTACATGGCTCTTTGTCCTCAGAGAACTCATGTCCTGTAGGAAAACAAAATCTAGAGACAAGTACATATATTGAGCAGTGTTGTAAACTGAAAAATGCATCTGTTTTCCCGGTGGGAATGTGGCAGAGGGAAGCTTTCCTATGGCCAGGAAGGTGCCAGGAAAGCTGGAAGTGGTGGTGTACTCCTATAATTCCAGCACTCTGGGAAGCTGAGATGGGAGGATCGCAAGATTGAGCCCATCCTAGGCAACTTGGTGTCTCATAAGAAGAACTAGGATTGTAGTTCAGTGTAAGGACCTGGGTTCAATTCCTAGTGGAAGAAAGAAAGGAGTGGGGAGAAGAGGGAGGGTGGACAGATAGATTAAGAGTGCCAGGAAAAGCTTTATCAAGAAAAAAGGTCTTGATCTGGGTTCTACGTGGTAAAAAGATATTTCTAGGTGGAAATGAGACGAGGGTAATGGCATGAAATGCAGCCTTGGCTAGAGTCCATCAAGCTGTGGTTGTTAAGTCCATTAACTTCTGAAAGGCTTTAAATGCCAGAGAAGGAGTTTCTTCCTTGATAATAAAGGTAAATCTTAAAGGTCTTTTAAGCCAGGAAAAAGGAATGGGAGATGGGTGAGTGATCTATTCAGTTTCCTTTTCCGGTAGTCTCCTGGGGAAGATCTTCAGGAATCTGTTTCCAAAATCTCAGGACCTAGTGATTAATATGAGAAGTTGGGATAATATCTTACAGAAAATGAATGATGGCAGGATTTATTGAATAAAGACGGTACATTGGAGGTGGCATAAAGTAAAGCCATGGTGAGTGAGGGCAGAAAGTGGAAACAGATATTAAAGTTAAAAGTGGCCTGTGAGATTTACATGCTAGAAGAAACTTACAGAAGAAAAGTTTGGAAAATTTAGCATTCCATTCCAATTAAACTGCTTAAATATGAAAGCACTAAATGGGGGATTTCATAATTGCATTATGTACCAATTTTTTTAAAAAATCTTAGAACTTTTCATCGTATCTGAATTATTTTCAGTGTCTATTTTTAAATGTTCACAAGGGTACTAAATTTTTTTAAACTGCCAGTGTTAGAAAATATTTAACTTAAATTTTTTTTTTACTACAAAGCTATAAAACAAAAAATGTCCTAGAGCAAGCAGGAAGGCATCTCAAGAATCATCTTATCCAGCCCATCATTTTATGGCCCAGAGAGAATAGTAAGTGCCTATTACAGAGTTAAGAGTAACTCGTCCATGATTAGAATATCGTGTTTTTTTATTCTATCAGATATTTTTTCCTACACACTGTTGCTAAAACAAATAACATCTAGATCATAGCTCCCTAAAACAGCCATTTTATTCATCTGCATTGCAACTTACTTTAGATTGTAAGAGGTGAGAAAAAAAGAGTGGTAATTTTAGAATGTCACCCTAGAAACATAGGAGAAAGGAGCTGTTCCACACAGACATTCCCCTGTAGAAAGTCCTCCAGTCCTCTAGTTCTGTCACGTTCTGGAAATTGTTTTAGGAAATTACGTTGCATGATTTCTTTCAAAGATAGCTGAGATAATAAAAGTGGAGAGAACAGAAAGCTCAAAAATAGCTGTTACAAGCAGAAATATCATGGGATTGAGGGTTTCAGTAGTGCCATAACCCATTACTGTACTTATCAGAGTTTCTCCCAGTGCCTCATGGACCCCAAACGCGTCTTTGTTGAGTAGTGAGTCTGTGAGTGAATGAAGTTGCTTGCTTTCCTGCAGTTTAACCTGGGTATTGAAGCATTCTTTCTAAATAATGAGCTCAGGAAAGGAAAGCTTTTGTTATAATGGATTACTCACTGTAAACTTCATTCTTACTAGGTTGGAACAACACATGTGCTTCTGTGGCACATCCCCTAGAGGTTGTTGAAATTACTTGTGTTATTTAGATGTCAACCGGGTCCTTGTTCTCCAGCTTCTGCACCATACTGGTTTGCCCCCTAATGTACTTACACTTTCTGGATTGTTCCCACTGCCCAGGGACCAGTCCCCCTTGAGCCCATACTTTTCCTATGAAGCAACGTAATTTAGCTATCATCTTTCCTTTTTAAGCCTGTGTGCAGTCTCTCCACCTCTACTCCAAGGATTCAACTGCTCATTTCTTGTGAAAATGTACCTTGCTTTCCCTAATAGGAATTACGGTTATTCTATTTTTATTCATTTCTTTTCTTTTAAACTTATTGTAACTAATAGTGTTCTAAAATTTCAATATGATATCATGATACAATTTAAATATTAATATTTCCAACCCCTGAGGATTAATTTACGTAGGTAATACAACAAAATTCTAGTGCTCATCCCTTTGACATGAAGGTGTTGAATTTGAAGGAATTGAAGGAATTGAATTGTGTATTCAATTTACTTAACTTGTTTACTTTTGCAAGTTGGTTATAGCTCATCTATTCCTGCTGTCTCCCTTCCTCCCTTCATTTTGAGCCAGGCCTAGATAAAACTGAGAGGAAGCAGGGTTTGCTTTCCACATCTCCTGCCAGCCTTCTTGAGCCCTGCTTCTCTGATTTCTCAGTTCCTTCCAGAAAAGCACCTCTGCCCTTCCCTGTGTTGAGCTTCTCTGCATCTTCAGTCCTGCCCTGACTTGTAGCAGTGCCCTGAACCTTTCCTGGAGCAGGCTTTCCTCTCTTCCCTTTGTCCCTGAAACCACTTGTTCTTTATTAGTGTAATCCTCAGCTGTAAGATATTCTTCATTTCCAGCACTTGAGATTTCAGCTTTCTTTGGGGCAATCATTTATGGAGTGTCTCTGCTAAGCATGTTTGATTATTCTTCCTTCTGTGCTCACCTGGGTATCCAGGTGAGTGGCCAGAAGCCTCATGGCATCTGTAAAGCTCCCCGTATGTCTATCAGAGAGGCAGGAGGACCAGCCTGGCAATGCCTGACTTGCTTTAAAACTCTTTTAACAGAACTGTCTTAGATTCCACTTCTCCCTGGGGGCTACCTGCTACATTACTGAATGCATTAGCTTACTCACTCCTAGTCCTGCTGAATCTGCTCATCCCAAATGCAGCTGTTCCTGTCACTGCTGCTTTTATGTTCTGAATCAGATTTCAGCATTCAGGCAGATCACTAATATGCATTTATTATTTCCCATTTCCTTTTTGACAATTCAGGACACATTTTGTAGATATCCAGTAGACTTGTGCTAAGATAATGTTATTACTTTACATGTGAATTTTGTTCAGAAATTTCAAAATTTTTAAAAATTTAATTAGATTATATCTTCCAGCCCCTAAATTCTTATAGGATGGACAGTATAGAACTTATTGACAAACAGTTTTTGAGAATGAATCTGCAGCTGAGAAATTTTGAAGTGCTTACCCAGTGTCCTAGATCTAGTTAGCACTCTGCTGATTACACACCTGTCACCAAGTAGACTTGAGATGCAGATTCTGGCCTGAATCATTCATATTTAAATTCCTATTTAGACATTTTGTATTTTGTGCTCTTAGATCTGCAGAGTCAACTTTTATCTGCATGGAGTTATGTAATTGTGGTGATCAATTTATATAGTCCTGCTAAATTTTCTCAGATTTTAGCTTGCAAGCATATTGGGATAGGCTGTGTTCTACAAGAGAACCATTTTGTGTTATGTTATCTGGGCACTGTGTCTGGAGGCATTTTTTTCAGTGAGCATACCCAAGTAAATTGCATTTGACAGAAGTTTTAGAAACGTTGGTGATTTTTCATTTTCAGAAATATTTATGTTTTTAATGTTATCATTTTAAAAGTATATAAATTGGTTTATGTAAAACATAGTCACTCTGCTGAAGTGAACTGCGTGGAAGCAGGAGAGGAACAGGCTCTATCTGTAAGTCCCTGGTTTCTTTTCTTCTTGTCTTCCACCTCAACCCACAGATACTATCTTAGCTCCATTTTCACATGCGCTGCATAATCATCGCAGAGTGGATTCTAAGCTCTATCATGAATATGTGTTGTTTTCTCTCAATTTCTTACATTTTTAGTCCCACTTCACCTACAGAAATGTTTTACTCTTTGCCTTTTCTTGAGTCCAAATAATCTCCCTGACAATCAACACCTAAATTCTGTTTTTGGCTTTAAACTATAAAAACACGAAATTAACATATCTAGTAAATTTCACACTCTTCCAGAGCAGATTGGTATAAATTGTCTAGCACATAATCAGCCAGAGCAATATACATCTTCTATTCTGTGGAAATTTAGGACTTTTACTCACTTAAGACAAGTATTGTAAGGCCTTTTGTTTCTCTGTTTATACAATGGTATTTTTAGAGCTTTGCTGTTACCTGCATTGCTACCTAATTTATTATTTCTTGTAAAATTTTTATTTCAAAGTTCTTGAGGCTCAAACACTCAATTTATTCCCATTAAAATAAAATATTACTTATAAGTGTTCATTATCACTTGTACTATAGATTTACTAGAAAAACTACCAATTACCAGTTTTTATTGATTACTTACCATTAATGCATTAGAATGATTAATTAAGTATAATATAATATGGTGTTAGCAGATGTTTTAGTCTGTTTCTGCTGCTATAACAGAATCCTGTAGACTGGAGACTTTATACAACAGAAGTTTACATGACTTATGGTTCTACAGGCTAGAGAGCCCACGACCATGGTGCCAGACATAGGCCTTGTCCTATGTCATAACTGAATGGTGAACAAGAATACACAAGACAAAAATAGGAAATTGGGCTGAATTCACCGAGGAACCCACATTCTTGATAACTAACCTACTCCTATAGTAATGACTTGATCTATCTATTCATGAGAGTAGATTCTTCATGGCCTAATTACCTTTTAAGGCTCTAATTCTTCATACTGCTTCAATAGCAGCTAAATTTGAACATGTTTTGGAGAGTACCTTTAAACCACAGAGACAAAATTGCTTATTTCTTGAAGAAATATAGACTCGACTAGAATAAAAAGTCCAGTGTATCTCTAGTAGGAAGGGTAAATGCTATTTGGTGAAACTTGTTTCAGTTACTATATATATACTTTCGTTTTATGTAAAGTTATATTTTGTGTCATAGTGCAACTTTTTTAATGTAGGTGGCAGTCAGAAGAGGTTTAAAAGTCATATAAGCATTAAGAACGGTAGAAATGTTCTCCTGACTCACAGGCTTAAGAACTTCAGGATTATCTTGATATTACCCCAGAAATCTATGAGGAGAGTTAAGCATTAAATATGTTTAACAGAAATTGATATACAAACAATAGTATGGAAAATGTATACCAGACAAGTCTACAAGATAAAATCAAGGAGGCATCTAAATAATATTAGATTTTAAACCCTAAAACTGGTCCTGGGATGCCTCATAAGTTCTAAGTTCTTTGTTCACTTTTTCAAGGATAATAACTATCCACCTAGAGATAATCACAGAGACCTCTATGCTTGAAACCGTGATGGCTGCCACCAAAGTGTCTTCCAGTGGAGATTCACATTGGGAAGGCAGTGACACCACTTTCCCACTCCACCCAATCAGGTTCCTTGGCATTTGCAGAGTCTCCAGGAATCCACTGATCTAGAGGAGGAGTTACATGAGAACAGTTGCCTGGCTTTGGCCTTTCACACATGCCTACTGTTTGGAAAGTATCTCCACAAGACCCTCACTCATTCAGCTAAGCGACTTAGTGAATGAGTCTTTCTCCTTTCCCAACTGATTCTTTCACAAAAGCTACCTTCACAGTTTTACTTTAACTTTTATAAGTCTTATACTTACTAAGTTTGTTAGATGATGTAGTTTTGTTCCTTTTCCTTCTCCCAAAATTGCCTTTCTTTAATTTCTATCCATAACTGAATCTCTATCCTCGAGTATTCTTCTTCTTTTTAAATTTTATTTTAAAGAGAATAAACAGAAGAAAACCAATCTTAAAAAGCCAATATAAGGGGCTGGGGATTTAGCTCAGCGGCATAAGCACCTGCCTTGCAAGCAGGCGGTTGTGAGTTCAATCCCCGATACTGATTAAAAAAAAAAAAAAAAACCAGTGAAGTGCTACAGGACTTCAAAACATTACAAAATCAATAATAGTTATGATAATGCCTTTTGATGTCTTCAAAATAGCTACAGATAACTTTGGACATAGTAAAAATCAAACAGAACAGAATAGAAGCAATAAAAACAAGACAATGAATGCAATAAAGGACTTCAAAACAAGCCAATAGTAAATCCAAAATTGCTACCATGATATGTCTTGCTGTCTTTGAAATAGTCACTCCTGCCATCATATTTAGCATAATCAAACAAAACAAAAGAAAAGAAAATCCAATCCAACAAAACTATGGAAATGATACAGGACATAAAAACAAAATCATAGGGAATCAACAGTGGCCAAAACCCTCAGAAGGAGATCTCCCCTAGATCCCACACTGCATACCACTCACTATTCTTTGCACCTATGATCAGACCACTGGCCCTAGACCTGCAGTGTCAGTGAAACACCAAAGCACCACAGGCATCCAATTGCATTTCACCTCTATAGCGTCATCATAGCCTGTGTTTCTGTGGGTAAGCCAGTTGCTTATGTGGGGCAAGGGGTTGGTACTTCTTGTTTGCCAGCCTGCACACCGGAAGGGGCTGGGGTCTGGCTGTTCCCAGTACAGTGGTGGTCTGCGCATGGTACTGGTTCCCAGACTGGGCTTGCTTCCTGGTGTGGCCTTGTTCTCTCTCCTGCCAGTCTGCAAATGGCGGGCTGGGGATTTAGCTCAGCAGCATAAGCACCTGCCTTGCAAGTGTGCAGTCGTGAATTCTATCCCTGGTACTGATAAAAAAGAAAAAAGAATGGCTTACACTTTAGTTGAGAATGGTGGCTCATGCCTGTAATCCCAGCATTCAGGAGGCTGAGGCAGGAGGATTGTTGTGAGTTCGAGACCAGCCTAGGCTACAAAGTGAGCTCAAGGCCAGCCTGAACTGCATGGCGAGACTCTGTCTCAAAAAGACAAAAAAAAAAAAAGAACAGTCTGCAAATGGTGCTGACTGAAGAGGATAGGCTTGGATATGGCTGTTCCCAGTCTGGTGGCAACTCACTCATGGCACTGGTTCCCAGACTGGGCTTGCTTCCTGCTATAAGCATTCCTCTTTTTAAAAGTTATTTTGTATACTTTTTCTTTTTGCTCTTGCCCCTCCAAAAGTTGTCGAGAACTATTTTATAATCATTTAAAAATGTCTCTGTGACACGAGAGAACCGAACAGTCATTCTTTTTTCCTTGAAGGTAATGTGTTGATATGTTGATACCTTTTTATAAAGAGACTCATTGCCTTGGAGAGTGATTCCTGATAGCTTAATGTAAAAGGGTAAGCTGGAGTATTTCTGTGATTCCTTTACAGCTATGTTTTGATTATGCAGTATCATCAACTAACACACTTAATGACTTCCTTATTTAATGGATGTGTTTTGTCATTTAGAAAACAACAACTGGCCACGGAGTATCACCGGAAACAGGTTCTTCGACACTACTTTGCAGAATGGCAGCATTGGCATTGCACACAGGTCCTAAACAGAGAACTGGCTCTAGCAAAGGAAGAAACCAGGAAGAAAATAGATGATCTGTTGAGGGCAGCATCTCTAGGGAAACTCAGTGCGAATGGGTCACCAGGCATCAGTCAGCTTGAGGCCACAGCCCCAGTGGCCTCACCAGTGAAAACTGGAAAGGTACATTGTTTTTCTTTCATGTGGTCTTTCTGCTTATTAAACACTTGTACGTGAGCCCTGCACTTTTCTAGCCTGGGATGTATCAGCTGTGGTCATACTGCCTTCCAGGGCTGTCCAGAGGTTATGCCTACTACCATACACAAATTTTCCCTCCGGGCAATATTTATTTTCTTGAACTGGATCTTTTTAAATAATCACATCTCAAGTTTGGGAGAATTGGAAGTTGGTAAGGGCATAATGTAAAAAGGGAATTCATAAAATCCAAGCAAAAGACTGCTTTAGGAAGTGATAGAGCACTATTTACTACTTTTAAATTCCTTTTATTTGATCTTCACATATTTTATTTCCTTTCTAAATGAGTTTGTAATTTGTAAAAGGAGGATTTAAAATTTTTTATTTTTATAATAAGAGAAGCCATACATAAAATTGTAGCAATTTGATAGAAGAAAATCACAGAGAAAAAGGAAAAGAATCTATAGTTCCATCGTCATCTAATAACATAGAAGTATAGCTAGCTAGTTTTTTCTCTGTTCACATATCTATACATCAGTCTTTGTTAATATTTTATTAGTGTTTAAATTTCCTTCTTCCAAGTCTTGAAGAAATCTAGTCTGCCATAATTCAGGAAACAGAAGGCTATTTTTTTGTTGTTATTGTAATACTATTGCAATTATTTTGTTTTCCTAAAACATTTTTTTCATTTTCAAAATATATTAGAATGAAACATGAAGTACATACTATTATGTATGCTTCAGCAATAGTAGTAGTTCTCAACTGAAAATATACCTCAGAATTAAACCTACTAAACAAAAACTTCGGATATGGAACACCTATACATTTTTTTAAAGTTTTCTAGCTGAACCTGTTATCTGCCCTTAGTTTAAGGACTCCCATTCAATAGCATCATTTTACAATGGCTACCTGACATTCTACAGTGAACCATAGGCTAGAATCTGCTTAACTGATCTGTTGCTGAAATTTAAGCTGCTTCCTGAGTGCCACTATTTTTAACAGTGCTTCAGTGAGTATCTTAATAGCTAAATCTTTGCATATTTCTGTGATGCTGTACTTGGATAAATATTTCAAAATAGAATACATATTCTATTTTCATCTTTTATTTTGGTTATGGGGGTCGAACTCATGACCTTGTACTTGCCAAGCAGGTGCTTATGCCATTGAGCTAAATCCTTGGCCCTATTTTCATCTTATTGATGCCTCATTTTTTTCATTTCTTTGATTACAAACAAGGTTAGACATTTTTATAATGGATATGCATAGATGAATCTAGAATAGTAACTTGTGTCTTTATGCTCTTTGTCCAATCTTTTCTTTGAAAACATTCTTTTTTTCCTTATTTATAGGAGCTCTGTATATTTTAAGGCTGTTGATGTTTTTATTAGTATATATGTTACAAACATTTTTCCCATTTTGTCATTTGTTTCTTTTATTTAGGTGTGATGTTTGGTGCTACAAGCAGTTGTTAATCTTTCATGAAGTCAGTCCTATCAGATTTTTTTTTTCTTCATTGTTCTTGTCTGGTTTAGGAAGGCTTTGGAGGAAGATCTTCCTTCCCCTTCCCCTTCATCTAGTGAAATAAACTGAGCACTGGTGGTTTGCAACCTTACTTTTTATGCTGATTACTACTAGCATATGGGCTGGTTTTAATTTAAGGTTAGTCTCCCAGCAAAGAGGAATCATGTGGATGATTATTGGTATTTAATGTTTTAGCCCCTTCCTTTAGGATGGCAGTTTATCTACCTTGTATTAGTTAGATAATTTTGTCTCCATTGAGTACAGGAGAGACTTCTATCTAAAGAAGTAGCTGTGTGGAACCTTTTTCCTTACAAAGTTCCACTGTTATTATTTTGAGAAAAGTCATTAGAAAATACCTTTTAACCTGTGAAAAGCAGAAAAGTATCTCTCTCTCTCTCTCTAGCTATCTATCTATACGTGTGTGTGTGTGTCTGTGTGTATGTATATGTTTAAGAAAGTGTCTTTCTATATAATTTTTAAGAAAAAAAGACTTAAGAAATCTTAGACTTAAAAAAAAAGTTGTTAGGATTAAAGTCTCCAAATCTCTGAAATCAAAAAGATTTTATCAAAAAGGATAATATTATCCAAAACTAAAAACATAAAGCAAATGAAAACAGAACACTACAATAGACTCAGTAGGTTACTAAATAAATTAAGTCTTTTCTGGACTGTAGAGTAAAACATGAAAGATGAAAATATAAAATTTCTAGTTAGATGCTCATTAATTATGCAATCATAGGACTCCATGTACCAAGAACACACATACTGTTTCTTGAAATTTTAAAAAATTACCAGTTAGCTAATAGGTGGTTTTCCCTAATTAGGCCGGGCTGTTCATTCCTTTTCTGTTATGTACAATCTGTACCATTAAGGTTTTCTTTCCTGCTCTTATTTTTACCTTAAAAAGTTACCATAATCTAAAAGAAATCTGATTGCTGAACTCAAGGCTTTTACACAGTCTCGCTGTGTTAATAACATGTCATTACCACAGAATTTAAAAGAGCCTAAGACATATACCCTGCTTGATACCAAATTACATAAGCAATAAATGTCCATTGACATTTCTGAAATAAAAGGTTATTTTAAAAAGTTTTTAACATGTCATAGTTTCATATATCACACAGCTAAATCTGCGGAAAGCATTTCCATCATCAGAAAAAATATTTTTGAGTTCCTGAGGATGGCACTTTGTTAAAGCTAAAAGCTTCTGGTATAGATGGCTCGTAGTATTTTCCTCATTGCAAAATGGCATGATCAATAGCTGATCGACTCTAGATCAGAGAACCAAACCACACTAGATGATTTAACTTGACATTATTTTGGCCAGGATAAATTTTGCTAAAATAAGTTATGCTTGTTTCTTTCCCCTCTGTTTAGAATTTGTAATCAAGGGTGATCGCTCAGTCTATTAAATGAAATATAGTAAAGCCTTGAAAACTGTAAGTCATATACTAACACAAAATGTGTAAATAATAATAATTTTATTACATAGATATTTGCCTAGTAATTCTGGGCTTCCAAATACTTCTCACAAATAATTTAGCAATAGCATGAGACCAGACATTAAACTGAACCTTGATGCTGAAATAAATACATATGTTGTACAATCATAAAGAAGTAATTTAATGTTCTAGTTGCAAGAGAGAAATTGAAAGAGCAGAGATACTATTGACTTGTAAATATATTCTTTAGTTTCCAGACACTGAAAAGGAATATGTTCTTTGCCACAAAAGTTTTAAATTTCTGCAAAATTCCAAGTCGTCTCTTACATGTTAAAATTCTCATAATGTATATCTGGAATGCATATCCAAATTAGAAATTTAAAAGACAGCATTCTTCCTGTTGCAAATGTCTTGGCCCTGGACAAGCTGTAGGCACTTCCCACCCACTTCTCATGGTGAGCTGCATTGCACATTTTAAGAGTGACTCACAGAGCAAGACTGGTGGCCTCTGGGACAAGTGGAAGAGGAGCACAGGCTACTCTGGCTGAGGTGCGCTGCAGCTGTGTCATTGAGCAAAGCAGTGCTGACTCATGAGCGCTGATGTTTTCAATGGCCTGGTCCTTTACATCATCGAGCTGTAGCAGGTTCCTTCTCTTTCAGGCAGCTGTTGTACCCTCTTTGGGGGAAAAGAAGTCTTCGAAGAATGGTGGTTGTATGCTAAGAGCTACCCCAAGAGAAACCACAAAGGATAATTTGCGGGATACACTTCAGAGAAATGTCCCTCGGAACACCCCTGACAGTGGGCGGCACCAGGCCCTAGATGCGGAGCTCTGTCAGCAGTCCTGCAGCGACCAGCAGCTGGGAGCCACCAGCCAGAAAGCAGAACCTGCTTGCCTAGGGCATTTCCACAGCCGCCATGTCTTTCAACAACAGCTGATTGAGAAGCAGAAGAGGAAACTTCAGGAACAACAGAAAACCATTCTTGAGCTGAAGGAACACCAGCGCCTTGCGGAGGCTCGGTGGGCAGCTGAGCGCTCCGCGGCCCTCATGGAAGCACAGAAGTGCCTTTGGGCAAATCCCACTGCAGCAGAGGAACCAAAAGGAACCTGCCAGACGCTCCTCAAGTATGTCTGTTGCATCAGTATGCTCTTTGCACTTGTCTCACAGGCCTTTGTTTCTGTGGTATCGGGAATCAAAAAATCCCCAGACCATTTTTTAAGACGGGGCCTGAACTTGCCTAGGTTAGACCCAAACTTGTAATTTGCCTGTTTCCGCATCCCTCAGTACTGGAATTACAGCCATGTGTCACTGTGCCCAGTTGTTACCAAAGTTTTCACTTTGAGATAAAGGAACTGCTGGACTTCTGTGCCCTGCTTTTAAACTCTGCGATCTTTGCTTTTCTTTTGTTGTGCATTCTTAAATGAAGTCTCATGTATTGTGACTTGCACATGACAGTTATAAATAGGTACTTCTGGCAACTGGCCACTGGAAGGAGTCAGTTACACAGTTAGCATTTAGGTCATGGTTCCCTTTGCTGGAAGAGTTCTGTAACTATACAGTAGAAGAGAAAGGTACCTGATCCAACTGGATTTGGGTCTCTGATTACGTTTAATGCTGAGAAGCCTGGACTGGTGACACGAAGTGCACATGGAGTGACCCCTGAGGTTGCTAAGCTTAAATTAAACCTCTCCGAGCCTGGAATTAAAAGCCCAGATTTGTCAAAAAATCATTTTAAATGATTTTAGATATGCCTGAGACACACTCCCTGTGAAAAAGGATAAGAATTTATGCTGCATATTGTTTTAAAGTACTAGGAGTCAGAATCCCCAACTTTCATTATAGACTCAGAGCCAATCACGCAGCCTTTCCAAACCTCATTAGACCAGTTCATAGGTTGACTGTAATAATACATAGCCATTTCAGAGTGGAAGGGTTAATTAAACCTTAGTTAATAAAAGGATTTGAATTCCTTATGTAAAAAGGCTTTGACGGAAAATGACTATTGGTCTGAATTTTTTTTCCTTTCCTTTTTTTTTTTTCTTTCTTTTTTCTCTCCTAGTTCATCTGTTACTTCTCCTAGGACCAGAAACAATACAAGCAACTCTCAAAATTCTCTTTCTGGACCCAGAAGGAAACCAAAGCCGCTGATGGCACCCCATCCTGTGCTGAAAGGCAGGGCTGTCTTGATGGCGCTTTCTTCTCTCCGGGAGTAGAGTAGGGCTGGGACTGAGTCCTGGCAGCTCTTGGGCTTGAGACTCAGGTAGAATGGGAAGAACAGAGTATACTGCTCCTTTTTTTCCTGTCTCTTTTGCCAGCCTTTCTGGCCTTCGCAGCTGATACAGACACACACACAAATTTCACAAATTGTTAAAAGGTGTTTCCTTTTGCTATAATGTGGTATTTGGGTTGGGAAAATCATACAAATAAGAAAACTGTAACTAGGCACTAGACTAATACACTGACCTAGCCTATACACTGATGTTTTGTACTTGTTAATGCTAAAAATGATCAATTGTTGCAATCCAACTCAAGTTGTTATATCATTTTATATTGGTGTGCCTTGATGATAAGGTTTTAGTAATGAAATACATAAATCAGCTTAATGAGCATAGAAGTCCTCATTTTAACCCTAAGCAACACTGGGGAGGAGAGCATTCCTTAGAACTCACATGGTGACCCTGCTAATTGTTTTTACCATATATGTAGTCACTCATTGTACCTGTTTATAAGGTGGTCAGCACTTTAACAATTACACTGTGGCTTTTAAATCTGATATTTTGTGCTAAGATTGATGGCCGAACAAAAAGACGTATCATCTGAAGGACACTGTGCTCCCGTCAGTTCCTATTAAGGAGGAAATTGGCAGTCTGCGCTGATTGTCTCCCAGGACAGTAGTTTGTGCTACGGTTGCCTACCACTACAGCTGATCCGAAATGCCCTGTTCACTGCAATAATTTTTTGAAAATTGTTGTTTGAGCAAGGAGTTAGCTATTTTCGAATCCTAGTCTACTTTTCAAGTAGTCTTTAATGATTCAATCTGGAAAAGATGAGGAAAGGGCATATTACTGGAGACTCTGCTTCTCAGGGCTCTCTTGCTTTAATCCTCTAGTCTATTTCTGTTTCTTAAGGACAGTCTCACTCCTGCCATCTGTGGCACCACCGTTGTTCTGTGTAGCAAAACAGACACTTAGTATCTGTACAAAATAACTCGATGAGTTTCGTTTATTAATTCTTAAAACTTGGACTTAAATTCTCTTCTCTGTAACATGGCCCAAGGAACTGAAAGTAACTGTTGGCTGGCTTAGGTGATCAGAACTTGGTCCTCCTCCCACCCATGCCCCCCTTCCTGTGAAAGCCCTGCCTGATTACAGAGTCATATTATCAGACCATCTTGCACATTTGTTTCTTTTGGATCGATATTTAATAGACTGTCAAGAACAAGAGTCTGACACTCAAATTCATTCTGATGCCAGTTCTTCAAATGCCTGGTACAATTCCATTTCCTGCCCATCTGGATACCCAGGTCTTAAAACTCTATTAAAATGTATTCATCATGACCCCAAACTTCAGTTTGTTTGTTGTTATCGGATATACAGATATATGATAGTGACTGAAGATAAAATGGAGTGTAAGGAATGATTCCATTTTCAAAGTATTTATTAGATATAGTGATTTTCTGTATTCATGAAAGGTACAATTAAAATTTTCATTTCTGAGTTTCATATAATAAGGCTGTCATCCAGCTGTAGTATCTTACTTAAACTAGTAAAGAGTTTTTCTAATAAAAATATAAGCAAAGTAGTCTACAAATTGTTCATCATCACTGCAGATAAGATTATAGATCTTTAACTTGTAGAATGTTTATCTTTTTTTGAAAACATAATTTATAAGAAAACCCTGTCAGTAACCCTACATGTTTCAGTGAGATAGAGACCTTTCTTCTGTTACTATTTTTTAGCCATGGAAGAGAGAGCAATTCAACGAGCTGAACGTAGGCGGATCTTGGCAGAAAAGAAGAAAAAACAAGAAGAGGAGAAATTGGTAATAAATTCAGAATACAAACTGAGGCAGTGAGAAGGATTTGTCTAGATCTTTATTTATAAAAGATGAAACCTCCTTGTTTAAGGCTCCTGAAACTGTCAAATTAGACCAATTTTGGAAATGGCCTATGGCCTAAACCCTGGAATTTTGTGACAGTTTCAGAAAAATCAGGGGAAGGGAGGAATTAACACATTACTATAGGAAAAAAAAATATTAGAGAAGTTATCCAATCTAAAAAACTAGAACGGTCACACATAATCAAGTTAGAGGGTTATATAGATAAATATGTGACTTAGGGGTTTACAGAAGACAATAGCTACCTTCCAAAGTTTTGACCTAGACTATCAGAAGGAAATTTTGCATCTATTAGGAAAAAATGAATAATTCTAGCAGTTTGAGGGAAAGAATTGATGAAATTAAAGGAAACTTTTTCTTTCATTGAATTAGTACTTCATAGGAAAAAGGAAGAACTAAAATATAATCATTTTATGATGAGTAGTATTTGTATTATCTTTTGGGAAAGATTTTTGTTTTTGAGACACGGTCTGACTCTGTAGTTTAGGCTTGTTCTGAACTCACTATGAAGCCCAGGCTGGCTTTGAATGCGTGGCAATCCTCCTACCTTAGGCTCCCAAGTGCGGGCTGGCATTACAGGCACATAGCACTGCACCCGACTGGCGAAATTTTTAAGTTATGCAACTGATGCATGTTAGTTGGGTTAACTGAAAAGTTAACTCATCACAAAGTGCAGACTTGCTCCAAACACGGGGTAGGCACTCTGGTAGATTCTCAATTTGCCTTAACACGGAAGATACTACAACCTGAAGATTGAGGGCTTTGATTCTTCTCCATTCTCATCTCAATTAGGCCCAGTTAAAAGCTCTAGAAGAAGAGCAGCAGAAGAGAGAGGAAGAAGAAAAGGAGGCTCAGCTTGAGAAAAAACGGGAGGAGAGGAGACTGAAGAAAATGGTTGGTACTGTCTGTGGTCTGGCGCTTGCCTTTAAACCCTGCTGTGTGTGATCGTATACCGTTGTCTGCCTTTCCCACTCCGGAACTTCGGCCTGGAATAGTCTTCTCTCTCTTCCACCTTCTTTTCTCCATCTTATTTAGTGAAAATCTACACATTCTTGAGAACAAGAATGTGGCGTAAACAGTGGTTTCTTCAGATTAGCCTTTCCTGCTCTGCCCACCCCAAAGTTGGGCTCAGTCCCTCTCCTCTGGTGTCTTCCCTTCAGTGCCCTGCTCGTGCTTCTGCTGCTGTGTCTGTTTTATTCACCCCTCCATCTCCATGAGAGTAAAGGAAGCAGTCTGGTGCGGCTCACTGTTGCAATGGCTAGCAGTATTCCCAGAGTCCAGCAGGTGCTCAGCAAATATACATTAAACAGCGAGTAAGTGAGCAAACAAGTGGACAAAAGCACACAGAAGAAATAAGAGATGTTCTTTCTTTCAATTGTTTTCCCCGTTCTAGTTGGGAAAATATGGCAGAAACCACATAGTAGAGTGTTTGCTGTCATGTGCTACACTGAACAGAAGAGATCAAGAAATCATGGAAGGCAGATCCAAGATTTTGGAGAAATTAGAAACAGTTTCTTCCTTTTCTAAGACCACCTAAGAAATTATTTTAAATACTCGTTTCTTCCTTAATAACTATGGTGAGGAAAGCCAATGCAGCGATGTGCACCTGTAATCCCAGCCTGTTGGAGGCTGTGGCAAGGGGGTTGCTGCAAACTAGAAGACATCCTCGGTTGCATAATGAGTTGATGGCTAGCCTAAACTACATGGTGAGAGCTTGTCTCAAGAAACCAAAAAACCAAGCAAATCAAACCAAACAAAAACAAACTACGGTGAGAGAGAGTATTCAATAGCATTTGTGTAATCCTGGTGGTTCCTGAGCTCGCTGAGATGTTTTGGGAAAGTGTAAGTTCTGAAATTAAAGAGTTTTAGAAAATGCAGATTAAGGGAAAGTTTTAAGTTTCTTTGTTCATTGATTTCTCAGGACTTTTAACATCCTACCAGATATTATGAGTCTCCAAAAGAAGGGCAGTGTGCCCAGTGATAACGTGTCTGACTATAGAGCTCCCAGTAACATGTCTCAGAACAACTTGGGGTCATACTGCTAAGCAATGAGATCATTTTTGAAATATACAATATAATTTTTTTCTCATATCTGTTCTTATAAAAAATTTGAGAAATACAAAAAAGATAGAAAAAAATCTCTGAATTCAGCATTAAGATTTAACTGCTCTTAAGTGTCTTAGTATCTCTGCTTCTGGGCTTATGTGCATCTCTCATTTCGTAGGTTGTTAATTATGTCTATGTAAGTATAGATAGTTTTTAAGCTTTTAAAATTTAAGAGTTTCTCATGAGTCATTCAGATTTTGTCAAGGCATTTTAATTTATAAGTAGAATGTCATTTTTTAAAAAGTAAAATTTATTTTAGAATAATTTAGATTTATAAAACATTTATAAAGGCAGTACAGACAATTCCTATATACCCCTCACTATTTGCCCCCCTAATCTTACTGCCTTTTATCACCTGGGTACATTCATTAAAACTAAAGAATCAACATTAATGCTCTGCTGTTTAGCTGGAGTCATCATTTGGATTTCACCAGTTTTCCCATTAATTTTTAAGATCTAGTCATGGAACTATATTCCACGTAGCTATCATATCTCGTCACTGTTTTCCTATCTGTGACAGTTTCTCATTGTCTGTTCTTATCATGGCTTTTTTTAAAAAATATTTTCACAATTTTGAGGAACGCTGGTCAGGTACTGTGTAGAATGTCCCTTGATTTGTGTTTGTCTCTTTTTCTTATAATTATTCTAAGGTAGTGTGGTTTTTATGAAAGAATGACAGCAAGGTGAGCTGCCGTCCAAATCGTATCATAGCAGGTTACATGATAGCATGATGACTCATCTCCGGTGATGTTAACCTTGACCGCTTGGGTTAGGCAGTGCTTGACAAATTTTTCCACTGTGAACTTACTGTTTTCCCTTTGCATACTCTGTCCTTTGGGAGCCATTCATTAAGTGCAATGTATTCTCAAGGTAGGAAAAAAGGAAAATTAATCTCCATGTGTGAAAGGGAGAAATATCTACATATATTATCTAGAATTTTTCTATCAGGAAGATTTGTTTCCCTACTTTACTTATTTATATAAGTATATATACGCATGAATTCACATATATTTATTTTATACTTTGAATGATAAAAATACTGTTAATTATTTTGTTGCTCAAATTGTTCTGACTTGGCAGCTTTGGGAGCTCTGTTCGGTTCACTTCCATGTTGGTCTGACATGGCTGTATCGTTCTGTATTGTTTCTGGTGCTGTAAATTTTTTATTTCACTGCCCCAGCCATAAAATCAGCCATTTCTCCAGGGCACCTTAGTTCTAAACAGAGTTTAGAAAACAAGATCTGGGCGATGAGGATACTAATTGCTACTAAAATGTTGCTGATTCTAGGATCTCAACAGGTGCAGATAGGTAATTTACAAATACACACATGCATGTATACAATCATGTATACACACCTGACTGTAACCATCGATCTGTCCATGGATGGACATGGATAGTTTTATAGGGCTGTGGAAAGCTGAACCTGAGCTCACACTGGTATCTTCAGCTGTAATCCGCGGGTCCCTGCTTGTTTATTTGCAGATTCCCTCTCTGACCCTGTGAAACGAGGCCCCTACAGTCTGTCACCTCCTTACTTATTTGTTCAGTTCCGGTACAGCTCTAAAGCAGTTTCAGAACTATCTCATATTTCCACCAGAAAAAATATGCTGATTAAAGTTTAGTGCTTATATTCCGTTATTTTATAGTTTTAATCTTACCATTTCTGTTAGAACTCAGTGTTCCAAAGTTACTGAGGTCAGCTCCTATTGTTCTTTATTCTCTAGAGTGCAGTTATATAATGTTTTAAAAATATACTCATTTGTCATAGGGTACATAGTGTGTTAGAATCCTTGATATCCTGCTTGATTTTGTAATTGTTTCTCTAGTCTACCTTAAGTGATGTGCAGCGCTGCTGAGAGTTACGCATCTGCCACCCAGTATATTATACAAAGCAGTGCCTTCAAAATAAAAGTTCCCGTGCACATTCCTTTTGCAATGAACCAATTTCCCCAACCTCTAGCCCTTAGTAAACACTGATTTGTTTTCCCTATTTTTTTTATCTTTTCTAATGTCATATGAATGGACTCATACAAAAAATGATTTTTTTTGCTTAGTAAAATGAATGTATGATTAATCCATGTTGTTATATAACTTAAAATCTCTGTTGTTTTTATTGCCAAATAGTATTCCAATGGAATTTTATCTGAATATGTCAGAATTATCTATTGCTCTATTGATATTGTATCCAGTTTTTATTCTGAACACAACTTCTAGAAACATCATATACTATGTGATTGGTGGGTAGTGTGGTAAGTTTATGTTTAAATTTCTAGGTAACCAGTTTTTAGTAATTCTGAACACAACTGCTAGAAACATCACATACTATGTGGTAGGTAATGTGGTAAGTGTAAGTTTAAATTTATAGGTAACTGCTCAATTCTCTTCGAGTGAATGTACCATTTTGTATTCCCACTAAACATGAATGAGAATTCCTTTGTTTTATATCCTCCTCAGCATTTATTATTGTTAGGGTTTTGGGGTTTTGTACATTCTAATCTGTGTGTAATGATATCTCGTAGTGTTAGTTTGTATTTCCCTAACAAATATAATATTAGGCATCTTCTTGCATGTTTTTTTGTCTTCTATATAGCTTCTGGGGTGAACTACCTATTCATATCTATTTTTAATTGAGTTGTTTACTTATTGTTGGATTTTAAGAATTTTTTACAGTGATAATCAGTTCACAAACTTAATTCTTTCCATGATTTTTGCATCAGATTTGTAATCAGAATCATGAAAAGAATTAAGTTCATGAACAAAAGTACCACTGCATTTTCTAGACATTTTCTAAATATTTACATATTATTTTAATATTAATGTTTTAATAAAATATAAAATATTTTACATATTAATACTTTCCATATTTTGTAAATACTTTCTCCCAGTCAAAGCTTTTATTGTAATTCACCTAACAATGTCTTACACAAGAAGGTGTTTAATTTTGATAAATTTATCAATTTTTATTTCATGGGTAGTATTTTCAGTGTTGTATGCAAAATCTAATCACTAAATCCAGTGTCAGTCAGCTTTTGTACTGTATTTTCTTCAAGCAGTTTTCTAGTTTTAAACTTGACATTTAGGTATGTGGTTTATGTGGAGTTAATTCTTGTTTAAGGCTTGAAGTATGTGTAAAGTTCATTTTTTTAATATTGAAAGCCAGGTTTTCCAGTATCATTTGTTAGAAACTTTATCTTTTCTACACTTAATTATTGTTATACTTTGGTCAAAGCTTAGGTATATAAGTCAGTACTTTATTTGTATGAGTCTATTTCTGGGCTGTCTGCTCTTACTGATTTTTGTGTCTATTCATTTGCCAGCTCTAAAATGCCTTTGGTTGTTGTGAGTTTATAGCCAATGTAAATTTTCCCATTCTGTTCTTTTTGAGACTATTTTGGCTATTCTGTTTCTTTTGCCTTTCTGTGTACCTTTTAACCTAACCCTTGTAGACTAATGTTGATGTATGCAAAGAAAATTTTAGTAGGATTTTCATTGGCATTGTGTTAAATCTGTCCATCAAATTAGGAAGAACTGAAACCTTAGCAACATTGAATCTTTTTGTTGTTACTGTTTTTGTTTGTTTGTTTGTTTTTTGAGAAAAGTATCACTGTGCAGTTTAGGCTGGCTTTGAACTCACTGTATATCCCAGACTGGCCTAGAACTTGTGGCAGTTCTTCTGACTCTACCTCCTGAGTGCTAGGATTACAGATGTGTGCCGGCACACGCAGCCAACATTGAGTCTTTAGTTCATGAACATAGTATATATCTGTCTACTTATTTATTATACATC